GTGGGAGGAAAATGGAGCACCCGGAGGAAACCCACGCAGACACGGGGAGAATGTGCAAACTCCACACAGACAGTTGCCCAAGGGTGGGATCGAACCCGGGTCCCTGGCGCTGTGAGGCAGCAGTGCTAAACTCACAACCCCACATCCACCAGGACCTCCATGTCCTTATCACCAAAGTGGGTCTCCAATTTCCTTTTGCCCAACATGTCTGTGGTCGTTGACTCGAACCATACTGAGCAGGTCTGATCTGCCAATGCTCGACTGTGTGCCTGGCTGGGCTTGAAAGATGGCACCAGTGCCACGAATCCCAGGAGTTCACAACAGTGCCAGGTACTTCTGACAGTGAGAAGTGGGAGAATACAATGAGCTAGGTGCCATAAAGGCATGGTGGCTCAGTGGTTAACATTCTAGGGTTCTAGGCATGGTGCATAATTAATGACCGATGATTTATTGTCACTTGTATTTTACTGAGAATAGTCCAGTAAAATACAGTGAAAAGCTTCAACTGTCGCCACAATCTGCACCGTTTTGAATAACTTAAGAATAAAATGGTATAGCTGAAAGAGAGCCAATCTTCCAATAGGATGAGAAAACTCAGTGGGCTCACGGAGAGAAACCCTCTGTGACACTCACTAAAGTTGATGCTGGTGAAAATCAGTGCTTTGATTCTGTCTTCACTGTAGGAGATACAAATAACATCCCAGAAATACAAAAGGTGCGTGGAGGGGGCAACTTAAAATAATTACATTCACCAAGGAAATGGCACTGAAAAAATATTGGCATTAAAAGTTTGCAAGTTCCCAGGAAGCTGATGGACTTCATCCTTTTGTTGAAACAAAATGGCTACATTGACAGTAGAATGTTTTAGTTGTGATGTTTACATTGTGAAAATGAGCCATCAGAGTGGAAAATAACAATTCCTATTCAAGGAAGGGGAGTCTGAAAGCAGGAATCCTCACACCAGGCTGTTAAATAGATCATTTTCCAGTTGATAGGATGTGATAAGTTGAATGCCATAGGGATCAGTGCTAAGGTCTCAGGACTGTACAACATTTATAAGTGACTTGGATGAAGGGACTGACTGTACATTTGCTAAATTTGATGCAGACTCAAATACTGATAGAAAAGTACATTTTGAGGAGGACACAAAGTGTCTATGTAAGGATATAGGTAGATTTAGTGAGTTGGCAAAATTAGCAGATGGCATATAACATGGAAAAATGTGAACCTGTCCATTTTTGCAGGAAAAAGTTGCAAGACTCTGTGGTACAGAAGGGTCTGGGTGCTCTTGCGCATGAATCACAAAAAGTTAGTATGCAGGTAGAGCAGGTGACTAGTCAGGCAAATGTACTGTTGTTTTTTATTGCAAGGTGAATGGACATAAAAGTGGGGAAAATTCTGTACTGAAGAAGAGTCATGTTGGATTCTAAACATTAGCTTTGTTTGTCTCTCCACTTGTGCTACTAGCCCAGAGAGAAGCCCAGTAAAACAAAAAATGTATTTCTTGGAAATAAATGCTACTGTTCCTACTGTGCCTCCATTTTGAAGTATATGAGACAGATCGGACCAGAATCTCTCATTCACCAGTTTTATTAGCTTTTCATAGAGTCTCTATACTGCAGATAAAGGGTCTCAACTGGTTCTTTGAATAGCACACACCCACCCAACCTATTCCTGGCACCCCACATTTCCCATTGCTAATCTATCTATGGACACTACGGGGCAATTTAGCATGGCCAAATCACCTAAGCTGCTCATATTTGACTATGGGAGAAAACCAGACCACCCGGCAAACTCCCTAGACACTGGGAGAATGTGCAAACTCCACACAGATAGATATCCAAAGCTGGAATCAAACCCGGGTCCCTGGCGCTGTGAGGCAGCAGCGTTAACTACTGATCCATGGTGCGTTCTTGGGGATCTGCTGAGTTTCTCCATCGTTTCTGTTTTTATGATGAAATTAAGACTATTTTGCTACAGTTGCAAAGGGTGATGGTGAGACCAAAATCAAAACTACTGTATACAGTTTGGTTTCCTTATTTAGGAAACGATGTAATTATTAATTCACTCAATTGATTTCTGAGTGAGGGTGCTATCATATGAAAAAAAGATTGGACTGACTGGGCTTAAATCCATTGCAGTTTAGAAAATGAGTGATGATTTTATAATTCTCTAATGGATACATGTAAGATTTTGAAGGGACTGGAGATAGTGAATGCTGAGAAGATATTTTCCCATGCAGGAGAGAGAAGAACTAGGGGATACAATTTAAAACTGAAAGGACTTCCAATTAAGACAGAGATAGAGAGATTCTTCGTTTGCCTCACAGCATCACTGGTCTGTTGAATTCTCTTCCCGAAGGTTAGGGAAGACAGGGTCATTGAATACTTTAAAGAATGAGCAAGACAGACTCTTGAGTCAACGCTTATAGGGAGCGGCGGACAAGGTAATGGACTTGAGGCTACAATCAAATTAACCACGACCTTATTCAATGGCACAGCAGGTTCTGGCATCTGAATTGCTTATTCATTGATCCTAATTCACATCTCTGAAGTGCATATTGTACATCATTTATATGGCTTGATTTTACAATTCCTTGCTTTCAAATTTTTACTGGCAGCAGGGTCCATTTGGGCTGGGGACATGGCAGGTATCAAAGCCTCCCCGCAACAATTTCAGTTTGAGGCTATTTTAACTCCTGAGTTTCCCTTTCACTCTGCTAGCCAGTTGGCTAATAGAAACTAGTAAAACATGATGCCATACACATTCAGGAACTCGAGGGGAGCTGCCATGAAATTTTCTCCCAATTCAGAAAGTTGAGACAAAATGTCTTTGTTCACACAGGTTCAAAGCATAAATGGCAACCATTTCATAGGCTGCAGTTCTAAATTATGAGGAGAAGCTCAGGGACTTCAGATTTGGCTGTGACAATAGTGTAAGGAGGAGCACACTGTAAGTAGCAAAAGGCAGACAGTGTTCCCTTACATCAACAATAAGCATCTGATATAATGGTCCCTTCTAAGAAGAACATAAAAGTTACTGCACTCTTTTGTCATAAAAAGTAAATAAAGTCAGTGGAGAGAGTGAAAAAATATTTAAGTGTTATCTTTACTTAGTGCAGATTTTTGAATTTGTGTGAAAGCAAAATACTGCTGGAACCTAGACCCAAAACAAAAATTGAAATATTGGCTCTGTTTTTCTTCACAGATCCTTCTTGAGTTGCTCAGTATTTTCAGCATTTTTGTGTTTATGTTAGAGTCAATGTACGAATTATTAGTTTAGTGTTAGCATTTTAATAACATGGCTATCCTAACAGATGACTGAGTAATTATATTGATGTACTTGTTTTGGTCTCTAACCTATGAGTTTTAATTAACCAAAAGTCAGTCAGCTCAAAACGTCAAAATTATCCCGGAGCCCATCAGCAGTCTATTCTTAACATCAATGCTGACAGGTTACTGGCTGTGAGTCAGAGAAAGCAGTATCAGTTCTTTAATTTTTTAATATTGTCGCATAAGCCTGTAAGTTAACAATTACTCATTCAAAAAGTGGTGTGCAGTCTCTCATAGAAAGTTCAGAGGGTTTCGCTCAAACAGATCCTTCTAGGAAGTGTCACCCTTTTTGTGTACATGCATTGTAGAGATGACAACTTCCTGGTTTAGTTATTTGTTTGACCTTGAGTTGTTTGTACCTCACTGTCCTGTCCATTGCACTGTTTAATCTTCCTGTACAGTACACTGCCAACAGCTCGGGCACCCATTGGAAAGCTGCTGCAGCTTTGTATCACAGAAGCTCAAAAGTGAAGTGAAAGAAGGTTTAATTCTGTTGCCAGGAATGTTGAGTTTCTCATAAGTTTATTTTACCTTTAGCTCAAGGTTCAAAAGAAAATATTTATATTACATGCCTGACTGTTGCCAACAATGGAGCTGACCTCCTCTGATTCAAAGTATCCTTCCTGTGGAAATGCCCACAGATAGGATTGGCACATTAGAATATGCAACCAGTAATGCCCCAATCCTATCTGTGGGGGAGGGGGGATGTTTGGGGGAAACCTTAAGATTGATCATGAAAGGCACCATGCAGATGCACATTTCTTCATTTCCCCTTTTCAATTAAATAATGTTCAGATGCAGCTTTTAGTTTTAGAGCTAGTGGGCATTTTACCTCCTCTGCAATCAGTTAATATCTTTCCTCCACATTTGCATGGCTGAAGGAGACTGAGGCAGTCAATGTTTCACCTAGACATGGTAAGAACTGCCAATGCTGGAGTCAGAGATATCACAGTGTGGAGCTGGAGGGACACAGCAGGCCAGGCAGCATCAGAGGAGCAGGAAATTTCTGAAGAAGGGTCCCGACCCGAAAAGTCAACTTTCCTGCTCCTCTGATGCTGCCTGGCTTGCTGTGTTCCTCCAGCTACACACTGCGTTATCAATGTTTCACCTACTTCAGTTTGCTTTCTCTTCACCACAGCCCATGACTCCTCATGAAGGTACCCCACACAGGATTTTCTATATACTTGAAGCTGGATATGAGTGTGATATCTGGTCATGATATCTGGGAGAGCCGCCATTATTCTCAATTTCTTCTGGGTCTGAATTTTTATGAGCGTAGAGACTCTGAACCCTGAAGAAGAATTCATCTCCTACAGACCATAATATATTTTCCAGAATGAAACAATTTAGTCGTCTCATAACATAGAGATAAAAGCAATCCGAAGTGTCTTCGTCACAGGGGAGGAATCTCTTCCATCACACATAGTGCTGTAAAGCACAGAGATCAGTTGAATCAAAGTGAGGAACAAATCTGCCAGTTCCAAATTTTTCGTTATTCTTTTGTGGGACATGGGATGTTTGCATTTGAGCAGCTTGGGGATGTATGACACCCCCCCCCAGTGCGATGAGCGCTAAACTCTAACTCTTTTCAAATGTTGGAATGTACTTTCACAAGATTGATCAATCGTACTCACATTTTTAGGGGTTGTTGTGGTTTGTATTATCCAGAAACTTGAAGAATCTTCCAGGAATTCCATGAGTAAAACAGCTTTCTATGAAGCTCTTCAGAATGCACTGGGAGGAGAAAACTCAAACTCGCTCATCAAGAATGCAGCAACTTGGTTTTACTTGCTACAACACTCTCTGGCTGACTACTCTGCCTTCTCTAGGGCTTTGGAGAACGCCACACGGTAAGGGCACTGTACAGAACGTGGATAATGTCTCTCTCACATCCTTGATAGTTTCATGCAGCTCTGAAGGGGAAGAGGCGAGCAGACATATTTTCACATGGTACATTGCATGGTTCAACATATGGATGCAAATGACTTGGATCATTTATTTTAGTTTCGATGCAACAGTGACTGCCAGATTCAATGCCCATAGACATAAAGTCAGTCTACTGGTTAATGCCACGTTGCTGGAATAGAATTTTTGAAAAAAACCCACCTTCAAGCATTAGAGGATGAAAGTTCACTAGATTACTTCCAGAGATGAGGGTTTTGTCTTATGAAGAGAGATTTAGCAGTTTAAGCCTGTAGTCTCTGGAGTTTGCAAGAATAAGGAGTTGTCCAATTGAGGTATATATGATGCTAAGAGGATTTACAGAGTAGACATAGAATGCGTCCTCTAAAATGAGAAGTCATAGTTTTAGGATGGGTGTGGCATATTTAAAACACGGATGAGGAGAAATTACTTCTCGGAAAAAGTCATGAATCTATGGAATTCAGTACCCTAGAGTATGATGGACGCTGGCACATTGAGTAAATTTAAGGAGGAAATTAATTTTAAGTTAGCAATGGATCAAACTGTTATGGGGAATGGGCATGGAAATGGAGTGGTGACTGAGCTGAGATCAGCCATGGTTGCATTGAATGGTGGAACAGGCTTGAAGGGCTGAATTGCCTACTCCTGTTCCTAGTTCTTATGTTCTGATGTGAGTTTTTACTTCCTGAGTTAATTCAACTAATCTCGGATGAAACTCAAGCAGCCATGCACAACCTGCAAACTAAACTTAACCAGACTCCCTGGAGCTTTCCAAAGAGGTCTCTTTCTGACCCAAACTTTCCTGGTGTCAGTCGTGGCTTAGTTGGTGTCTATCTTGCCTCTGAAGCACCGAGGGGCTGAAACACAATCTAGGTTGACTCTCCAGGGCTGTACTGTAGAATGGTTGTGTTGTAGAATGGTTCTGTTTTGGATGAGATGTTAAATCAAGATTCTGTCCTGACATCTAGGGTTCCTGTAAAAGATCTATTGCAGTAGTTCAAAGAAAAGCAAGGGAGTTATCTTTGATGACCTAGTTAATATTTATCCTTTAACCACCATTGTGAAAACAGTTTTACAATTTATACATTATGTTCTTGCTTATCTGCAAGTCAGGTGCCATGTTTCTTATAGTACAATAGCTAGGGCACTGTGACACTCCTGTCAACACACTGCAGGAAATTGTGATCACTGCTCAAGAGGGTATACAAGGCATTTACAGGATATTGCAAGGACAGGACATTTTAACTACAAGGAAAGATTGGATAGGCTCTGGTGTTTGCTTTGGAGCAGAGCTGGCTGAAGGGACATTTAATTGCAGTGCATAAAGTTTGAGTTTCCACAATAGTGTGGGTAGGTAGAACCCATTTCCTTTAGCAGTGAGGTCAGCTATCAGGGAGTGTGGATGTCATGCATTTGATAAAAGGATTAAGGGGAAATGGAGGAGATTTTTATATTTTATTTAGGGGATGGTGGGTTTCTAGAGCTCAGTTCCTGAATGGGTTCCAGACGTAAGAAATCTTTATTGCATTCAAAGTCTATTTAGGTCCATAACGAAAATGCTGTGACTTAAATTTCACAGACCAAGAGCTGGGAGGAGGAGTCACTTCTCATTCTGTTATTCCTGGAAATAAGTCATATCTTTTACAATGGAGACACTTTCCTCAATCTCTTTATGAGATGATCTTTCCTAAACAATTGATCATTTAAAGTTTCCCAAACATTTCTTATTGAAAATAACCGTAACAAAGCATGTAACACAGCCATCATATTGGCCAAGGCATTTGACCAGTGCAAAGTCAGTTTCAAAACTGAGATGCTCTCAGCTATGAATGCACACAGAGGTGCCACATTCTTGAGGGTGATATGTTTAGCTTTACTGAAGATGCATTTACAACAGTCTTCAAAACTGATATACTTGAATTGCTAAAATTGCATTTTGAGTTATATTTATTTCTGGCTGTGCTAGGGTCAGATTGTTGGAGGAGGCCATTTAGCCTTTCATTCCTGGGTTAACTCTCTGAAAGAACTATTAGCTAGTGCTACACCTCTGCTCTCTCCACGTGGCCCTGCAAAGTTTTCAATTCAAACATGTTCCCTCACCGCTTCCTGCAATCCCAGTCTAGCAGCAATCTCCTTTAGCACTCAGCCAGATTGATCAGCAGCGGTGCTACCGAGCCACTCTTGGTGATGGACATTGAAGTCTCCCACCCAGAGTACCTTTTGCAACCTTGCCACACTCACTGCTTCCTTCAAATAGTTTTCAAGAGGGAGGAGTACTGATTCATCAGCTGAGGAGACTGGGAGGTGGAACGTGGTCATCAGCAGGAGGTCTACATTTTGATTTGATGGCATGAGACTTCATGGTGTCCAGAATCAATGTTAATGTCTCTCAGCGCAACACCTTCCCACTATATTCCACTGTGTTACCACCTCTGCTGGGTCAGTCCTGCCTGTGGGACAGGACATGCCCAGGGATGTGATGGTACTGGCTGTCACATTGCACATGTAAGGCATGAGTATGACTATATCAGCCTGTTACTTGACTAGTCTGTGAGACAGCTCTCAATTTTGGAACTAGCAAAAGTGAAGGACTTTGCAGGATCAACAGGGCTGAGTATGACATTATTGTTTCTAGTTTCTAGGACAGTAGTAAATCAGATGCATTTTCAACAACAATTAACAACAGTTGTATGGTCATCACTGGACATTCAATTTCAGATTATTATTGAATTCAACTTCCATCCACCATGGTAGGAGTCAAGCCCGGAACCATTTATCTGGGTCTCTGGGTTACTAGTTCATCATAAATGCCTTAATGCCATTGCCTCCTCTGGTGTTTAAGTAGCACTCTTTAACATCTCCATACACGCACCACCCTCTGCGTGAAAAATTACCCCTCAGGTCCCTTTTAACTCTTTCCCCTCTCACTTTAAACCTATTCCCTCTAGTTTGGGACTCCTCCACCCCAGGAAAAAGACCTTGGCTATTCAACCTTATCCATGCCGCTCATAATTTTATAAAGCCCCATATCACAGAGGAGGAGGTGCCGAGCGTTTTAAAATGCATAAAGGTAGATAAATTCCCAGGACCTGATTAGGTGTACTCTGGAACTTTGTGGGAAGCTAGGGAAGTGATTGTTGGGCCCTTGCTGAGATATTTGTATTTGCTTTTAAGTCTAATCCAGAAAGGCAAGTTTGTTAGCATTAATTGTCATTTGTGACACAAGATTTAACTTTGGGAGTATTTCCAGGGATGCTGCTAAGTAATTGATCTTAAGGATGCCATTGAAACACCACTTAACCAAAAACCAAAAAGATCTGTATTCGTGGATTTTGAATAGGCAGGAACATTACGCCTGGCTCCAAAACCACAGTAGACTGGTACTGCGCTTCATTCTCACCATCTAACACAGTTACTCCACTCCTAATCACACTTTGGCTGGATCCTAACTGCAAATCCCAACATCACGAAAAATTGGGTATATCCCTATGTCACATAGCCAGTGCACCTAAAAGAACATACAGAACAAATAGAAACGCATTAGTCTTACTCAAGCTAAAGTGACAACAGTATGATTATCACCGGCTGTGGGACAGCCATAAAAATAAACTGAAGTAATGTAGACCAAGTAGAGATAGATTTTGAGGGGGAAAGGTAATATAATGAGATTCATGTAAATTACGATGATGCAACTCTGTCATCATCAAGAGTGAAGAGACCGGTCTAGAATGAGCCTGTGAAGAGAGGTCTTAGACACTATACTAATAAATTGTATTTGAAAGTCGACAACAGATGGATGTACAATAATGGAAGATTACAATGCATAAGCCATACTGAAGAGACATGGAACAAGCAGGCTCAAGGAAAAAGCATGCACAGAAAACCACAGCCAAGATGCTCCAGACTGGTTTCACAATGTACAAGCAGTGGTACTGGCTTAAACCAGAAGATTAAACAATTTCTTCATTAAGAGATTGTGAATCATTGGAATTGTCTACCTCAGAGAGTTTGTTTTCTTTATCTTTGACTTTATATAAAAGACTCATCTTCTTACATAATCAGCTTCAACACAAAATTGCGTGCAAATGTTCATTTTCTGGGCAGATGTCAAGATTAACTTTTGCTTTGTCAATGTAACGATGAGTCATACCTTTTGGAGACAGGAAAATATTGACAAAAGTGAAAACTGGGAAAATGTTACCTTCTAAAAATTACCAAAAGCAAAGCTGGCACGCTGACATATGTCGCTAATGACAAAACTAGTGTGTTATATTTAGAGCATCTATCTGCTGTGGTTTACGTACCAAAAGTACGAACTGTTTTACTGTGTGGAGTTCAAGTTTATTATCACTGTGGGAAAAGTAGATATCGCTTGACAATTAGTTCCACTGCATCACTTCCTGGGTATTGTAAAATATGCCTGTTGAGCTGTTAAATTTTTTTTCGATTTTCTGTAAAATGAATTCTGTGCTGTAGCTGGAAATACCATCATGAGCAGATAGCATTTATTGGGTGAATGGAGATGTCAGTTTGTATGAGCCGCTTATGTTCCAGATTGTGTGATGAAGGCCAGAAGTCCCGTTACTGAAGTTACTGTGAAAAATGGTACTTCCCTCTGAATTAGGAGGAGAAGCAGGTCATTTAACCCCTCAAACCCGCTCTGCTATATGATAACATCATGACTGTTTGATTGTGGCTTCTATTTTCCTGTTTACTCCATATATCATTTGACTCTGTTGACCAATCCTCTGCTGGATCAGTTTAGGTAGATACAATAAAGACACCTAAACTTAATGCGCTTCTAGTTTATTCAGAAGAACTAGCTTAATTGTGATTTATGAGAATGTAGTAGTACAGAGATTATTCAGACTCATTACAGAGATCTGGGTATTATCTGCATTGGTGAGGGAGCTGGCCAGGCTTCAGT